GCTCGGGACTGTGTGCTGTGGCTGTGTCAGTGCTGCTGGAGACAGAGCCCAGCCCAGCTGAGCACAGGCACCTTTCAGAGCTGTGCAGAGTGCTGAGGGCAGCCCTGAGTCTCCTTTTCTGCAGGGGAGCACCCCCAGCTCCCTCAGGGCTTCCTCTCAGGGTTGGTGTTCCCAGCCCCTCTCCAGCCTCGTTGCCCTCAACTGTCAGTGAATCATAAATTCCTAAATATCCTGGGTTGGAAGGATCACCAAGTCCAACTCCTGGCCTTCACAGGACCACCTCAAAAGTCACACTGTGTGTCTGAGAGTGCCAGGAGTCTGTGAGCAAAGCAGGGAATGATGCAAGGTCTCCCAAATCCTGGATTTTCTCCCAGCCTTTCCTCCTTCCCAGTGCACTTTGCATAGTCCTGATTTTAGGGCAAAGTGAGGCACTTCAATACAGCATTGACTGGCTCATGAAAGCCTTTCCAAAGCACAAAAAGAGCTTAATTCAAGTGTGAAAAGCCCAAGGCTGAGGGACAGTGAGAGCTGGAATTCCAGCTGCCCATGTATCTCATGGGATGGAGACTGCCCCAAGTGGAATTTCTCCCCTTGCCATAGATGATGCATTTTGGACACCTCCAAGACCTCAGATCTGTTCCTCTCCTGCTCAGCTCATCTTTCTCAGTTATTCACATCCCTTCTGGAACACACAGCCAACCCAGTAGGAGGTTAAGGGACTCCCTAGTCCCTGAGTTATCCCAGTTTACTCCAAAACACCCACGTGAAAGCAGCAAATGAGTTAAAATCAAGCTAAATTATGACTTCTTGCAATAATTTGCCTTTTGCTGATAAAGAATTATTTCAAAAGAGTCAGCAGCACAATGCACTGCAGTTTTGCCAGTGGGCCAAATCACTTTTATCATCCTTGGCTGAGAAGCACAGGCACTCACACAGTGTCTTTTCCATCCATAGCTGAGCATCCATGCGGGATTTTCCATCTATTCAGCCATTTCTCAGAGGGCATCTGACCTTATTTAACAAGCCCTTAATTAGGTGAAAGCAAATGCGAGGGAGAGCGGAGTTCAGCCTCTGACATTGCTGAGGGTAATGAGGAGTGTTCCAGGGGCAGCAAAGAACAATCAAAGAGAACAAAAGTTGCCTTTGCTGCCAACTGGGATTACACTCATTGCTTGATAGGGATTGAGTGAACTCTAGGAAATGCTCTTGCCTATCAGTTTTGTGCAGGACTGCCCAAGAGTGGGACAGCTGGCAAGGAAATGGGTGGTTTGGAGTCCTCTGCTTTGGAGGATTTAGAGGGAGAGGAATGTGACACAGTTTTGAAAAGACGGTGAATTCAACCAGGTTTTGGGTGTCTTAGAAGCTCTGGTGGCCCTGACCTTATGTAGGATGCCAGTCTGGTTTGGGAACATCCAATTATGGAATCATGGAATGGTTTGGGTTGGAAGGGACCTTAAAGATCATGCAGTTCCACCAGGGACAAATCCAGCTTGACCTTGGACACTTCCAAAAATGGGTGAAGTTACTCATAAGTAACACAAAGTTGCTCAAAATCTGGTTGCAGAACAGTCTTCCCTAACCTTCAGTAAACCAAAAGTAAGAGGAAGCTCAAAACCATGAGATTTAAATAACATGAAGTTGACACCTCTTCCCCTTTACCTTCTGGATTTTGAGCCTTTAAGGTTATTTCCTCCAGCTCTTGCCTTTGATCCCTCTATTTCAAAAGGAAGGGATGAGATTCCTGTCTTGGAGCTGCTTCCATGTGTTGCATCAGCTTTGCAAAATGCTGGGAGAGACCCAGGAGCCCAACTTGCAGAAACAGTTATTTAGGGGTGATGGAGGTGACCTTCCAAAGGTTGGACAGGGGAGTGAGCATCCTGCACCTCCTGGCATGCAGGGGTGGGCTCTGTGTGTGTGTCTGCACTTGAGCAGCAAGGAAACAAAGAGACAGCAGTGTGGAGACTGCTAGGAGAGCAGAGAGCAGAGGAACAGGGATGCCAGGAATTCAGGAGGACTGGAAAAGCAAGTGCAAGCCTGGAAATGAAAGGAAAGGGCTGCAAAGGATCAGAGGGAGAGGCAGGGAGAATGAGAAAGGGGTGAAAGAATTGTCTCCATCCCTGCAAAGAGTTGCAGGGAGCTTCTAGCTGGGAAGAGAAAGCAATTCAGAGATGATGAGGTGAGGGAAGGAAGCCCAGGCATGTGTGATGAGGAGCAGGGAAGATGCAGAGAAGCTGCAGCAGAGACCCTCCTGTTCCCCCAGCGTTTCCCATCTGCGATCAGTGAGGGCCTCACTGCTCTTCACAACTCCCTGAAAAGAGTTTGTGGTGAAGTTGGGGTCTGTGTCTTCTCCCAGGTAACCACTCACAGGACAAAATTTCATCAATGAAAGAGTGGTTAAGCATTGGGAGAGGCTGCCCAAGGCAGTGGTGGGGTCACCATCTCTAGATGTGTTCAAAACACAAGTAGAAGTGACACTTCGTGATATGGTTCAGTGAGCACAGGAGCACTTGGTCAAAGGTTGGACTTGATCATCTTAGAGGCCTTTCCAACTTTAATGATTTTATGATTCTATGAAAACAGCTTTTAATAACTACACAGGTAATAACAGAAGCACTCTTATCTCTGGGGCACAGACAGGGCTGAGCTGAGGAAAAAAAAAACCCAAGGAGAAACCTCCTCCTTCCCCAGGGATAGCACAAGCCCTGGTGCCTGTCTATCTTTAAAAAGGTCAGGTTAAGTCATCACCCCCCTGTCCCTCATCTCCACAGATCTCCCAATACCACTGTGGGCAGTGAAAACCTCTGATAAGTCAGATTTCACCCTTTTATAAAAGATCTGTACGTGGCTTGTAGAGTGGGTGGGGTATTTGCTCCCCAAGGGCAGCATCTTCATGTTCCTGCCTCCAGCAAAGGCAAACCCCTGCACCCACTCACTGAGGCTCTCCAAATGTTAATTTATTCGAGCATTAAAGTGTGTTCCATCATGAGCACACAGGTAGTGACTGCAGTGCTGAGATGGCAGCGCTGTCACTCACATCGCCCGCCTCAGATAAAATCAGATTTGGGCAAAGGCTGATGTAGTGCTGAGTGTTTCACAGGCTCACATCAGATTTTAAATAACAACAGTCCCTGCCTTTTTTACCAGCCTCTCTAACAGAGACATTCATGGGCGTCAAAGATGGGTGGGAGGAGATGATTGATAGATCACAGGGGGCTCAGAGCTCACAGAATCACAGAATAACTAGGTTGGAAGAGACCTTTGAGATCATCAAGTCCAAGCCATGCCCTAAACACCTTAACTAAACCATGGCACCAAGAGCTCTCTACAGGGCTTGGGGTCCTAAAAACACCAGCTTCCACTTGTGATTTGGAACAGCCAAGCCCAAAATGAACCTGCTCATGCTGTAATGGTCAGGGAAGTGCAGGTAGTCAATGGACCAGCAAGAACGAGTTTTTGGAAGTCTCTGGAGGAAAAACTAATTGTTCCTCTTGTTCTTGTTTTAAGGATGTGAGGGAATGAAGGTTGCTGACCCACTGCCCTTTCCCCCAGAGGTTTGAGACAGTCCCTGGGAGTGTCTGTAAATCTGAAGGGCTGTGCAAAGGCAGCAGTGGTGTCTGAGGTGACCTCAGGTGGGCCTGCATGAAGAGGACACAGCAATCCTGACAACCCTCTGTTGGTTACTGGTGCAGTCATTGTTCTGCTCCAGGGAGCCCCATTCTGTGCAGAAGGAAAAAAGAAAAGGCCCAGAAGCAAAAGGATGAGGAAAAGGAATGGTGTCATGCTCAAAGTCTTGCAGGAGCTCAGGCATCACCTGCCTCCAGCTTCTCACCCCATCCCAAAAAGTGACTGGAACTGTTTTCACTTCAGGACTGGAAGTGAAATCCCATCCTTGCCCAGCATGGAGCAGATGAGAAGGAATTCCAGCTCTGTCATCCTGTCTTTTCTCCTGAGTTATGGTATCTCTCTTTAATCAGGAGGAATTTAGAGAGTTGCTCCCCTCTCCACACCAAATTTTAAGTATAAATATGCACAGTAGAGGGAAATGGTTGGAAACATCACAAACCACTTTATTTTAAGTGGTGCAGGAGGAAGAAATGACACTTGTAGATTAAAAATATAACCAGTAATACTTGTTTAATAAATCATTGAACATATATGGGTGAACATGTCCCACTCAGACTGCTGGCCTTCGATGAAGTGGCACTGGGGGGCAGCTGCCATCACCCTACCACAATCCCTCATTGCTCCCATTCTTTTTGTGGATTTAAAGCTCCTCACGAGCATCTGTGAATCAGCCAGGTATGACAGCTCAAGTAATCCTGCACACCCACAGGACTCAGTATAAACTTAGTGCATGTTCATATAAAGCGAAGTGAAGTGAAGTGCATTCTTCATGTAAAAGTAGCTCCTCTTCCCACCCCCACCCCAAGCAGCAAAGTTCCCAAGAATTCCACTGAAATCAGCCAGGATTCCATGCTGAATACCCAGATGCCTTCCCTGGGATCTGGCTGCCAGCATTTTCATTCACAATGCTGACAACACAACAGGAACACCACACCAAACTTGGCCTCTGCACTGGTGAGCAGCATCCTACACTCTTGCCCAGTGTCCCAAAGAGGCTCCAGCCTCTCCAAAAATTCCAATTAGAGCCAAATCATTCAGTGCTTTGGCTCTACACCTACCTGAGTCTGTGGCAGATGCAGCCACAGTTTGGGTGGAGGTGGAGAACAATGCAGCAGCAACTCCTTGTCCAGCAGCCAGCAGGACAAAACAACTCTGGGGGTGGTTCCTGCCCCCTGAGTTCTGTGCCCCTGGCCCCTCACTATTGTAAAAATATATAAATGCCATGGGTTTATGAACACAAAAACCCTGAGGTTGACAACGGGGCACATCCTTGTGGGAAATGTGGTCGCTGGCAGAATTCATGAGCAGCCCTGATGTCCACAGCAGGTTGGAGCTGAAAGGTTTATAAAGCAGCACGGGCTGCTGGAGTTCCTTACCTGCTTCTCAGACATGATGTAGAGGTGCTCGTGGTCCATGGAGAAGGCCATGTCCCGGAGGATGGGGCCAGTGTCCACCACCTGCACGATCTCGTACTCCAGCGTGTTCTTGGCGGTGCCATCCACACGGATCTGTGCAGCAACAACAAGAGCAGAGGCACAACATGAGGATTCTTCCCTCCTTCCACTGAAAACAAATTACAGAACCACAGAATGATTTGTGTTGAAATTAACCTTAAAGACCATCTCATTCCAAACCTCCTGCCACGGGCAGGGACATCTTCCACTATCCCAGGGTGTTCCAAGCCCTGTCCAACCTGGCCTTGGACACTGCCAGGGATCCAGGGGCAGCCACAGCTGCTCTGGGAAGCCTTCTCTCTTACCACCCTCACAATAATATAGATCTACTTATAATATATACACAAAATTATATGTGTATGTATATGTATATGTATATGTATATGTATATGTATATGTATATGTAGCTATAGTTTAGTTATAGTTATATATTTTATATATTTATTTATAGATATAATTATGTAATTATATATTATATATACACATTATGTATATTATGTGAGTATGTATGATATATTATCAAATATATATATGTGTGTATATATCTATATGTATGTGTCTATCTATATCTATCTATATCTATATCTATATCTATATCTATATCTATATCTACATCTATATCTATATCTATGTCTATATCTATATATCTATATATCTATCTAGATAGATAGATAGATAGATAAATAGATATATGAAAATATATAAAATAATCACTGGACAAATGTATTGCACCCCGGTCTTTAGGACAACAACCACTGTCAACGAAAAGTGAACTTTTCCCAGCCTTCTCTCCAAAAGGACAAAGCAGATTTCATCACTTCTGCTGGTCCCATCAACACAAGAGCACTGTAAGAACAATGCAGAGCCTGCTGGCTTTTATCTGGCACTGTCACTGTGCTCCTGTCACCGCCTGGACAAATCTACCATGCTCAAAGTTATGGCAATGAGGGAAGGATCTGTGGTGGTGATGAGCAGAAGATAACAAACCACACAAATCTGCAGGACTGACTCACTCGAATGCTACTCAGATAATATTATTGCTCTTATTGCTAATGTTCCACGGGGCAATTTATTATTGCAGAGTGCTCAGTGCAACACAGACTATTTCTCTGGCTGATTGCATGTATCAGGCATTGAAATCAGCCCTGCACCAATGTGGCACCTTATGATTCCAGACACCTCTCATAACGGGGTGTCACTTAGGGACATCAATAACTGGGATTATGAGGAGGAACCAGACACACAGTCCCAGTCTGTCCCTGACAATGATCCAGTGATGCAGAAGAAGACGCAGAAAACAACAGACTTTTCTTTGCCTGTTTAAAAACAATTTCTAGAGTTTGAGCTCAAAAGCAGCTGGAGAAGGTTTGCAATCCCTTTCAATATAGAACAAGTTGTGATAAAATAGCTGTTCTCAGGAGTTCTCCTGAACCTTCTGAGTCTCTGTACAGCGGCAAATCCCACAGTCATGTTTCAGAGGTGCATCCACATTCCTTATCTCCCTCTGTTTCCCATATGTTGCCTTTCACTTCCTGAAAATATTCTATCCTGCAGCAACACAAACACCACAGTATCTTTCCCCAAAAGAAACAAAGTTGTAGGAGATCATCATGCCCCACATTACAATCTCCATTCCTTCCTGACCAAAGATCCCCAGCCTGCAGTTGGATAGCTGAGCAAAAAGCACCCTTCCCATCCAAAGGAAATAACAAGCTGTGGAGAACTTATGGTGTCAAGACCTGTTCCCACTATTCCCTGGCACAGTCCTTGAGCTTGTTCCTTCTGTATCAACCTCTCAGCCAAGAAACTGAGCCTGAATCATCTTCTGTGTTGGAAAGTCAAAGAGAAGGGAACAGAGGCAATGATAAAGGGTCTGGAAAGTCTGTATGAGCAAAGGACAGCAATGATATACAGATTGTTATCTTTGTCCTTCCTTGATGTACTCACCTGCTGTGGGACAACAAAGGAATATTATTTCCCCAGGAAAGATAAAGAAAATGAAGCAGAAAGGATTTAGAGGGGCTCTCTGTGCCAGCAAAGGGTGTGGAGGGTGCTCAGGGATGCTCAGATCCTACGTGTTATCCATCGGACTCCTCAGAAGTGGGAAGACGTGCAAGCCTTGGCTGCTGGGCTGCTCCAATGACACGGGAGAGTTTGCAGTTAATTTGTCATCTTGATGGAGCTGCTGATGACAGCAACACACGTCCAACATCAGCACACAGAGAGGTCAGGGCCTGAAGCCCAGCACTGAGCATCCCTGATGCACCAAGGGGTCAGGGACTGAGCACGCACGTTCCCAGCACGGAACATCAATGAAACACAAAGAATTCAGGGCCTAAAGCCCAGCACGGAACATCCCTGAAACACAAAGAACTCAGGGCCTAAAGCCCAGCACTGAACATCACAGAAACACAAAGAATTCAGGGCCTAAAGCCCAGCACTGAACATCCCTGAAACACAAAGAATTCAGGGCCTAAAGCCCAGCACTGAACATCCCTGAAACACAAAGAATTCAGGGCCTAAAGCCCAGCACTGAACATCACAGAAACACAAAGAACTCAGGGCCTAAAGCCCAGCACTGAACATCACAGAAACACAAAGAATTCAGGGCCCAAAGTCCAGCACTGAACTTCCTTGAAATACAAAGAATTCAGGGCCTAAAGCCCAGCACTGAACATCAATGAAACACAAAGAATTCAGGGCCTAAAGCCCAGCACGGAACATCCCTGAAACACAAAGAACTCAGGGCCTAAAGCCCAGCACTGAACATCACAGAAACACAAAGAATTCAGGGCCTAAAGCCCAGCACTGAACATCCCTGAAACACAAAGAATTCAGAGTCTAAAGCCCAGCACTGAACATCCCTGAAACACAAAGAATTCAGGGCCTAAAGCCCAGCACTGAACATCACAGAAACACAAAGAACTCAGGGCCTAAAGCCCAGCACTGAACATCACAGAAACACAAAGAATTCAGGGCCCAAAGTCCAGCACTGAACTTCCTTGAAATACAAAGAATTCAGGGCCTAAAGCCCAGCACTGAACATCACAGAAACACAAAGAATTCAGAGTCTAAAGCCCAGCACTGAACATCCCTGACTCCCACCAGCCCTGGCTGCCTGGGAGCAGGGGGCTTGCTCATGTCCGTGGTCCCTCACAGGGAAATTCAGCTCCTCTGAGTTCTCCCTTTTTGAAAATGGACCATGATGTAAATCACCCATGAGGTCAAGGGCAAAGACACCAACAGGCTTGGGCTGAGTCATTGCCCTTAGGACAGGCAGGGGAAAGGAAGGAGGCAGGAAGGCCTGCAGGCTGAGGAGCACAGGAGGCTCCCTGTCGGGGCTCTGCTCCATGCCCATCAAATACCCCCACAGCAGGAGCCTTTCCTCTTTCCCTCTGAGGCTTTCCAGCTCCAAGTTCTCCTTCTCAGGGAGCAGTCAGGGAGCTCTGTCTGCTGTCTCCACTCTGCCTCCCCTCAGTCCCTCGTGGCTTCTCGTTCCCGTCACAGCATCCTCGCTCTCTGCTGATCCCTGTGCTAAACAAACCTCACATCTTCACTTTGACCTTGATTTTCCAGCACCACCACGGTCAGATCTGCGGGCTGCCAGATATATAAGCAGCCAATTATCACCCCAGGGCTCAGTCACTGTCCTCAGCCTTTGCCAGTCCCCATTAGAGGGGAAAGAGCTCGGAGATGGAAGAGGCAGGCTGGAGGAACAGCCAGCTGGAGTTAACAAACCATGGAGACAGGAGGCACAGCCCCCAGGGATCTCCCCTGTGCATTTGGTGCAGGTAAAAGATTGCAGAGGCTTCACACCAGGAATACAGAACTACTCAGAAGTGATTTAACAGCTATTGCTGGCCTAATAGCCTGAAAAGTCATTATTTTGCAGAGGGGGAGGCAGGGAAGGAGGGACAGGGCTCATTGTACCCTACATGTGCAAACACACACACGTGTCACACACCCACAGCCCAACAGCTCTAAGTGCAGAAAGCCCTCTCTCTATTAAATCTAGTAGCTAATAAAAAGGAAAATTCAGAAAAAGGCCAGAAAATCTGGCAGACACCAACCCACACTGCACAGCCTGTGCAAGCCCTGTGCCAGCAGTGAGGTGATTATTGGAGACTGCAGACAGAAGTGTACCACCTAACTCCAGCCATCCCTTTACCTGCCTTAAACCCTGTCTTTCTTATGTTGGACCCCAGGCACAGAGCCCTGAGGATTTCCACCTTCCCTGCACACTCTTCACAGTCCTGAGCATCAGACAACACAACTGCATTTTCTCTTAGAGATTTATTCCTGCCTCCAAGGCTCCTGCTAGAAGCAGGGCACTTGGGCTGGTGAAAAAAATCAAAGAAGAGTCTGTGAAGGAAAAATGGGAAGATTCTCATCAAAGCCTGCAGGTGATCACCACTAAAGTCAGGGACCCAGACACAATCTCTGCTTGGAAACACGAGTTTCCAGCTGCAGGGAATTTGAAGTGTACCACCCATTCCCTCTGCTCCTGCTCTTCTCTGCTGGCATCAGCCCCAAGCTCCACCTGGAGCTGTGGTGCTGGCATGGACAGAGTTTTCTTCTGACTGAATGATGGGTATTCCCATATTCAAGATGTTGATTGGGGGCTGTGGGAGATGAGAACCTGACTAACAGTCCAGTTGGGATCACTTCTGGGAGCTGCCTGTGAACCATGAGCTCTTCAGCAAGGCAAGAGGGAGGGGGACAGCAAGTGACAGAGGGGGCTCCAGGATCACGTCTGAGTCTCAAAATGCCCAGTCCACCACAACCCAGAGTCCACAAACACACCCATCACCTCCACAATGGGATCATCCACCTGCTCCCCCTCCCTGGCTGTCTGTCCTGGACACGCACACCCCTCAGAGCCCCAGGTGCTCAGCTCTGATCCCTTGTCCTCCTTTAACCCAAGACATGTGGGAGCTCCCAGGGCCCAGCACTCTCAGGCTGCACATTAATCCTTCTTCTTCCTGGAAGGCTTCACTCACTGGGCTTGGCTGTGCAGAGCCGGCTGCTATTAAAACATCAGCGTGATGCTTCCC